TATTTGTTCCGGTCACTCCAAAATTTTTTAGACGGTAAAACCTTCACCTCAAATGAGGAGGTCAAAAACCTCCTCGATTAGTTTTTTGCCAGCAAAGACCAAAAATTTTATGAGCGTGGAATTATGCTACTACCAGAAAGACGGCAAAAGGTGTTGGACCAGAACGGTCAATATATCATTTAATAAAGTATTTGTTTATTATCCGAAAACTGTCTTTCATTTCCACAAAGAAAAACGAAATGACTTTCCGAACAACCCTATACAATTCTTGATCTTCATTATATGCCTGTTTAACCTTGAAATTTCTAAAATTTATAGGTCTTCTGGCGCGCGAAGCATTTACAAATTTTTAATCTGAACGTGAGTTAAATAAAGGTTGTCCGTGTCTACCCTAGACTATTGAGCTATTTATTTATTAGGAATCGCGAACGAATCTTTGAGGTAGATGCATAGCACATTCTGTCTGAAAATATTTCCAGGAGAATCCAGCCCACCCTTGCATTACTATGCCAACGAAAACATCTTTATCGATTTATTAACAAATCATTGGGCAAATGTCATTTTACGATATCTTAATCAGAAAATGTTAAAATGACTGAAGAAAAGATTGTGATACCAGCGTCTGTTAGACGTCGAAATGATTCACTCTTTTCGTCTGATTCTGAGGATGCAGGTATGAAATTTATAATTAAAAAGTTGAGAACATGTTTGTAGGTAGCGTATTATAAGAATATCATGTTTTATTAAACTTTAATTATTAAATTCATAAATGGTGTAAAACTGAGATATTTTTGCATTTCTTGTGGTATTTGGTAATGAACTGCTATTCCGCAAAGCAACTTTAGTAACGAAAGTAAACAAACATCTTTCTTAAAATAAGTGTGCAAATCCACTTCAGTTAAAGAAAATGTTATCATGCGTACCCGTCTGATAAGATTATATATAATTTATACAGTTTATTAAACAAATGTATAATTAGGCCAGGGAATAGTGCTTTCAAAATGCGATATTTTATAAATGGAAACAAACTAGGCAGAGTTGTAGGAAACGATCCAGGAACAAAATGCACTAAATTATATCATTCAATTATTTGTCAAACCAAATGGTATCGAAAAACCAAAGAAAATGTAAAGAATTTCGTTTTTTCGATTTACATCGAAAACTATGGATCGATTACAATGCAAAAGTTGTAGAAAATTAAAATATTTCCAATATGGGCCGCAAACGAACGGTTGAACTTTCTTGGCTAAAATAAAATGCAAAAAAAATATCAAAAATTCTCATTTTTTTTAATATTGACGTTTTAATTTCTATTTTGCTGGAGATATTAGCTATAAATGCATTTATTATGTGCCTGTAAACAGGTTCTTGACCTCCTCATTTGAGGTGAAGGTTTTAACGTCTAAAAAGTTTTGGAGTGACCGGAACAAATAATAATCCGATGGTGCCAGGTCTGGAGAATATGGTGGATGTAGCATTGTATCCCATTCAAGCTGTAAAATCCTTTGGCGAGTGACCAAACTTGTGTGAGGTCTCACGTTGTCTTGGTGAAATACTACACCTTTCCTGTTGATTAGTTCTGACCTTTTCTGTTGAAGTGCATCATTCAGTTTGTCCAGCTGATGACAGTAGACTTCCGAATTAATCGTTGTGTTATCCGGTAAAAGCTCA